TAGAGCAGTGGCAAAGACTTCCTGTCTGTTTCAACAGCCTCCTCCCTATGGGCTTCTAAGGAAAGAGGGGTAACACCCAAAAGCCCAGCACAGAGTGTAACAACTTCAACTCCAAAATGGCTCCCTTCCCCACAGCCCAGAACTCAGGTTGAGGACTCAGAGAGGCCCTGGACTGTTTCCTTAAGGCCAGAGCCCCCACATCATAGAGATGTCTACCAGTGTCTCACACAAACAGCTACCCATGATGCCCAAAAGGTTCTTGGTCCCCTGTGGAATGGTAGGGTTCCCTGAGGCCCAACTTGGGCAGACTGGCAAAGCAACCCTCGGCCCTCATTCCACACAAAGCCTAAAGATTGGGCCCAAAGACATACCCTCACCCCACAAGAACTATCAGGGACCAGCAGGAAAGGGAGTAGAGGTGGGGGAAGGGCAGGTAGCAAAAGGGCAGAGCAAGAGCTATCCTGTAGGGAGGTAAGGCACGAGCAGCTTGGCAAGGCTGACTGTAAGAACTATGTGAAGTGACCTGAGACTCCCTGCTTCTGTGTCCCCAGCACAGAACTAAGCATATCCTACATACCTGCCCCGGGAACAGGGGATGGTGAAGGGTCCTGCTGCCCTTCTCTGACCCCTCTTTTCTTTCACCACACTACCCTATGGGGATTTTGCCCAAGGAGTCTGGAAGCCTTCTTTAAAATCTCATTTGGGAGCTGGGTATATGACCCAGTCAGTGTGCTTGCCTAGCCATGCACATAGCCCTGGGCTCTATCCCCAACACAACATAAATCAGGTATAGTAGCACATGACCATAATCCTAGCATTTGGGAGATGGAGGCAGAAGGATCAGAAGTTCAGGGTCATCCTTAGCTACATGAGACTCTGTCTCAAAAAAAATAATAATATCCCAATTTGAAACACACCCAGTGTACCTATTCACTGAGCATCCCTGGTTCTCAGCCATAACTGAAGATTGACCTATTCCTATTCATGGACAGGTCCTTTTCACCAGGTGGAGCCCTCAGGCAGGTGCCTGGGTCTGGAGCTGGACAGACCCACAAGCACCTATGAGGTACGGAAGAGTGGAGTGGAAGGACAGCTGGGGTTTCCAAGGGACTTCCCTGGGATGAGCCCAGCAGCCACTAGGACTCCCTGCCCTCAAACAACTTTCCCTTTGAGAATTCCAGGCTCCTAAGACCCAAGAACCCCTGCGTCCCTTGGGAACATGAACAGGCAGGAAGGCAGCATCCAAAGGCTACAGGCCTGGATTCTCCTCTTGATTAACCCAATTCCTAAACTTCAGTTTCCTCAGCTGTTAAATGGGCTCCACCCATCTGCCCACCAACTATGCAATAAAGATAAATGATCAGGCCGAGCATCAGATAAGAAGGAAGTGTTCAATAAATGAAGCTCCCTGCTGATATTCATCAACTGAGTAGGAGCCAAGAGGTGTGTGCTGCAGTGATAGTGCCTCAGAGGGAAGTGGGGCACCCTTCCTCACATAGAGCTTCAAACTGGGAGACACACTGGGTATAGGTAGAGGGCTTGTCTAGCATGTGTGAAACCCTGGATTCCATCTCCAGCACTTCATAAGCTGGGTGTCATGGCATATATCAGTAATTCCAGCACTCAGGAGGTAGAAGTGGGAAGAGCAGGAGTTCAGGGTCATCCTCAGCTACATAGTGAGTTTGAGGTTAGCCTTGTCTTCAAGACCCCATTTTAATACAAAGAAAGGAAGGAAGGGAGGGAGGGAGGGAAGGAAGAAAAGTAAAGAGGAAGGAAGGAAGGAAGGAAGGAAGGAAGGAAGGAAGGAAGGAAGGAAGGAAGGAAGGAAGGAAGGAAGGAAGGAAGGAAGGAAGGAAGGAAGGAAGGAAGGAAGGAAGGAAGGAAGGAAGGAAGGAAGGAAGGAAGGAAGGAAGGAAACCCTGAGGACTGGTAAGATGGCTCCATGGATAAAGGTGCTTACTACTGACCTGAGTTGGATCCCCAGGATCTACTTGGTGAGAGGAGAGCACTAACTCCTAAAGTTGTCCTCTGATCGCCACACACTACTTGATTACTAAACGAGCAATAGCATCACCTTGCCACCCTGAGCAGGGCCCTGTCCCAGCAGGCCCCAAAGGTAGACACTGTAATTGCTACATTTCATAGATGAGGACTCTAAAAGGTCCTTGCCAGCCTGAAGGACTCCTAGTCCAAGTTCTTAGTGACTTTTGCTGGGGATGGTTCTGGTCACCTCCTCCTCCACCACAGGGTCAGAGGCAAGGCCAGCCACCTCCTGCCCTGCCCAACTTCATTTCACAGCCTGCCTACCTCCCACCCACCCCCAGTCCCTGCAGCCCCATCTCTCCCACCTGGCCAGTAAAAGGTCTGATGCATGGATAGCTGTTCTCACAGCTGGAGACAGAAATGGCTCAGTATACAGCTTAAGTTGCTGCCCCAGACTAGAGAGTCCAGAGTAGGAGATGAACCCCTTCTAACTAACACCAAAGACACCCAGCACTACATAAACCAGGCATGGTAGAGCACACCTGTAGTCCCAGTATTCAGGAAGTAGAGGATCAGTCCACAGCAGCATCTTTGGTTCTCTCTCCCTCTCCTCTCTCCCTCCCTCCCTCCTGTCCAGTCTTAGCTCTGTAGCATTCTCCAAGTCCAATGGCCTACACATCTTCTTAAAAATCCTCGGGACTAATTCTTCCTGGGACCCTGTGAACAGCCTGGTCTGCGTGGCCCTAGGCTAGACTGAGTTCCAAGAGCCTAACTACAGGCTAGGGCTTCCCAAGTCTCTATTCCAGGCCTTCACTTGAAGCTATGGTAGGGACTCTAGCCATGGTGTCACATCATGTCACAGGGGCAATGCCCTTCTTAATGCTGGCTCTGAGCTAAGCAGAAAGAACCCTGTCTGCCCCATTCTGAGCCATCCCTGAAGGCTGTGAAGAAAATACTAACCAAAGACATCTTGGGGGCCTCCAGCACTGACCTTCTCCTGCGTGCCTGGGATGTAGAGGGGAGGGGAGGGGAGATTGGGTTGGGTCTGTCTTCCTCTCCCCCACAGTCCTCCAACTCAAGGCCTTGAACTCCCTAGAGTCACTGAGGACCCAGGGCATGTCTGAAGGTCAGTGGAGGATGAACTCCGCATGGTGGGACATGAGGCATTGCAAACGGTGGAAGGGGACACTTGAGGGAATGGGAACAGTGGCCTCCCAACTCCACCCAGCCCACTGGTCCCAGGTAGGGCTGGGATAAACATGAGAGGTAAGGGCCTAGAAGCCATGAGATGAAAGGGTAAGGACCCCTTAAAGTCCAGTGGGGTTTCAGTCAGAGGCACTGGCCTTGGGACAGGGCACTGCTTGCCTCTGGGCCAGGGGCTTCTTCAGGAGACTTGGGTCCCTTGACCCAGACCCACTAAGAGAAAAGGAGAGAGAAGGAAGGCAGGTGGAGACTGAGAAATAAAAGCCAAGGGACTAGAACTGTACCTCAGTTGGTAGAGTGTTCACCTAGCCCTGAGTTCGATTCACAGCACCCCATAAGCATATGGTGGCATATGCCTGTGATCACAGCACTCAGAAGGTGGAAGTAGGAGGATCAGAGATTCTAAGTCATCCTGGGATACCTAGCAAGTTCAAGACCTGCCTGAGCTACATGAGAAAAAGAAATGAAGAACATCCAGCCAGCCCAGGCCCACAGCACCTGACCTCACTGCCCACCCTCAGAGACACATAACCAGGGCAGGGCAACAGAGAGAAGCTCATTGTCTGTTGGCCCACTGGCCTCAGGACTCTGGAGCCCCAGGCTCTTCCCAGAGGCTATCCTAGGCAGCTCAGCCCCTCCCACTCTCCCTGTCCAAACAGCAAGGACCTCTCCCATCAGTCACCACCATGCTTCCACCTCCAAAAGTTCCCAGGGTAAGACTGAGGAGAGGGATCAGATGGTAAACTGCTTGACACATAAGCATGAAGACCTAGTTCAGGTCCCAAAATCAGTGTAAAAGCCAGGCATGTGCCTATAATCCCAGCACTGGCTACAGGTAGACAGGGAGATTCCAGAACTTGTTAGCCAGTCAGCCTAGCCAAACCAGTGAGCGCAAAAACAAAAGAAAAACAAAGACAGGCCCATCAGGCCTGCAATGTGTACATCTATAGTCCTCACTGTAGGACTGGCGCATGAGTTCAAATGGTGAGGGCCTCTGTCCTGGCTGAATGACCTCAGGCAGGGTCTGGGCTCTCTCAGCCTCACCTCCCACTCTTTGGAAAGACCTGTGATGCAGGGGCTGTGCGATGACAGGACCAAATTGTCTCTTAAGTCACACCTTGGATGGCTGAGCTGTTATTACTAAGGCCATCACCTCCTACCTCTCTTCCATAGTTCCAAACTTGCACAGGAAAGGGCAGTTAGCACACTCAGCCTGATCTGCTTACCCTCCAATGACAATATCTGAACCCCTATCCTCAGTACCTGGAGGTGAGCACAAAGGTGAAGGGTATGGGGATGCCGAGGGTTCCAGGCCCAGGAGCTTGGTTAGCACTTTCAGAGTTATTTGTTTATTCATTCATTCGTGTGTGTGTGTGTGAGTGTGTGTGTGTGTGTGTGTGCGTGCATGCGTGCATGCGTGCACGCCAGAGCATGTGTATTGAAACCAGAGGACAACCCACAGGAGTTGGTTCCCTGAACCATGTGAAGCCTAGACATCAAACTCAGGTCATTAGACTTTGTGGCAAGCACTCATAACCCAAAGAGCCATCTCACCAGCCCACAGTACTTTCAAATAGCAAAGAGATCCAGCTTTGGTGGAACATAACTAATTTGGAGACTAGAGGAGTAAACAAATGTGTAATTTGTTAATTTGCTAATTGCCCTTCATCTGCCATCTCTCCTAGCTTCTGAGTGGCGTATCTGTCAGAGAGTGTGAGGAACCGGCCATGGTGGCTGATGGCATCAGAACTGGACACCTGGACCAAATCTCTTCCCCAGCTGCCCACTGCCCCAGACAACACACAAAGCAGAAGCCCGTGGCACTCCATCTTTTATTTTCTTAAACTGTACACAAACGTAAAATACTTTAACAGCCAGCCTATGGGGGGAAATTGTTTGGTTTTAAATTATTATGAAACAGAATCTAAGGAGAGGTTTATTAAATAAACTAAAGATGAGGATTTAAGGATACACACCTGCGTTCTACCAGTCATTTTTTTTTTTTTACTCTACCTTCTGGGTGTGTAAGGACAGAAAAAACATATCAACTGAATAAAAAAATTCATTTATACCCTGAAACATTGGCAGGCCACTCAAGGGATTGTTTAGAACATCTACCTCATAGAAGATGGCCTCACCATCTAATAAAAATTAAAACTGATCCATTGGCCTCTTTGGTTCCAAAATTATGTATAATACATTTAACTGTATTCATTTTTTGCTGCTATAAAAATAACTTCTTTTTTTTCAAATGGCAGTTTCTGACTAACCATGCAACTAAATCAGTGCAAACATTAAAAGCAATCATTCGCTTAAAAAAGAAGCAAAGGATTTCATTTCAAGTATAAAAAAATATAAAAAAAAGAGTCGTACGAGTCCAGTTTCACCTAGTGTGGGTCAACCCTTTAAATTGCATAGTTCACGTGGCACTTGGACATCTACAGGGAGAGCCACGTCAGTGCTCACCCCAGGGCCACTTCTGGACACACATAGATCTGCAAGTGCTATTGTCGTGTGCATTCACGCAGGTCTGCAAGCGCTCTGTGGGGCAGGCAGGCAGGTGCATGAAGTGGGCAGGGACCATGTTCATGGATAGTCCTGGGGTCTGGGCCCATCCACATGAACAACTTCTGCAAAGCAACTGAAAGCCTTCCCCATCTCTCCAATGCCAACTAAGCTGCTCACTAGAAGCTTCTCCCCCACCTCTGCCTCCTCTGGCCTCTTAGCTTTGCCTAGTGGTCACCAGCACTAGAGGAATGTCCCCAGTGAGGGGCACGGATTGCAACTTTTTTTTTTCTTCTCATTTAGAACCATTCGGATTTTCCACTTCAAAGGTCACACCTGATAGAGTCTCTTTTCAGTTCCACAACTGGCACAAATGACCTGTCAATTGTTGGAGATGAGTTTAAAGCATAAAATTAAGACCCCTCTCCTCTCCCTCCCTCCCCACCCCCCAAACAAACACACATACCCAAGCAACAGTCAGTCAAAGGGTCACTGCCCCTGCTCCATGGTCTCTGTGACAGGTCCCTCCAGGGCCACTTGCTCTCTCCAAGAATGGAGAAGCACAGCTCTGCTGGCCTCAAAGCATGGAGGATGCCAGGCAAGGAGCGAGCGGGCAGGACTGCACCAGGTGCTGTGGTGGAGGAGCCTGGGACAAGCCAGACGCACAGAGCCCTCTGCCCGCCTGTGTTCCCTACTCTGCTTTTCCTCTCCGTGGCTCTCTGGCTCACTCTCTCTGTGTCTTTCTGTCTTTGTGCTTTTATGTGTGCTCAGAAGGCGCGATTCAGAGTGCCCGGCCAGCTGGTGGGAATGGTGGCTGCTCACCCCATTCTCTCCGACTGACAGGCATTGGTAGCTAAGCTGCCATTTGTCACCATATCCGTTTGCTGGTATCCTGGAGGCTGCTGTGTGGGTGGCAGGATGCGTCTGGCTGTGCGTGTCTACGTGTGCGGTTGGGAGTCTCTTATGTCATGGGAGGGTTCTCCCTCTGGTTCTGACTGGTTGTTCTATGAAGCGGGAGAAAATTCTTTCAGGCCTCACCCTGGCACTCTCCACAGCCCAATGGAATGACCACACTCAGCCCACCTGTGTCTCCTGCTGCCCAAAAGCCCACCGGGCCTGTGTTCCACACGCACTGCCACCATCAGGCGCAGCCACACTCCTCCACGATCATGTTGGGCACATCCCTCTTGACAATGTTGTACTCGTCATCGAAGTAGAGCATGGACATAGAGCTCAGCTTGGTAGGGATACAGCAAGAGTTCACAGGCCCTGGGTTCAGGCCACGCATGCGATATTGGTTCACTACGGCCGTGTGGAAGGAGGAGGCTGAGCCGGGGACCCCAGCCAGGTAGGCTGGGCAGCTGCCCTCACAATAGTTCCCGTAGTAGCCAGTGGGTGCGATGATCCAGTCATTCCAGCCGATGAGCCGGAAGTCGATGAAGAACTGTTGCCTGCAACAGAGGCTGGTCCGCCCATCACATTCCAGGCCTCGTTTCCGGATGCGATGCCTGCTGTCACCCAGGCGGGCCTGCACCACTACAAAGGGCCGGTGGGACTCTTCCCCAGGGTCCACAAACACAGGCACCACAGCCAGCTCCTGACAGCTGTCGCATTGCACATCCAGGTTGAGGCGTCGCTCACCCCGCTCAAATAGGGCCTGGATGGCCTCTGTGATTGGGAAAGTGTGCCAGCCACTACGCTTGAGGTCCACCTTCTTCTCCACCACATTCCACCTGTCACCACGACCCTGCTCTTGGAAGTACACCTTGACCCGAACCTTTCGCCGGCTGCCCTTCTCCAGGACATAGGGAAGAAGTTTCAGGTATAGCCACAGGCTGGCCTGCACCACAAATAGGTTCTGGTTCCCTTCATTTGAGACGAAAAAGTACAGGCGGACCCGGGAGGAGGCGAGGCCATCTGTGGAGAGGGGGAAGAGCAGGTCAAGTTAATTCCATGAGAGAACACAAGGCAATGGGGAATGGACTCTGCTGCCTGATATTGGAATGCACACTCGCCCCAGCTGGAAAGTGTTACAGACCAGAAATACTGTTCCTGGGGCTGGGGCCTCTACCACAACCTGAGAGATGCAGAAGAATCACTTCCCATTGAGAAAACAGGGCCTGGGTGGAGCCAAAGGGTCCAGGCCTATAAAAATCCTGCCTCACCTCTCCCAGGCCAGAGCTCCCTGGAGATAGGCTTGTCAGGCCTCAAAGCTCAATAGAACAACTTGTCAAGAGGCCAAGATCTTAACAAGTTGTTATGGGTCTCTGAAAACAAAACCAGGATCACAGGAGGATTTGGGGGTGGGTTGTTTTAAATGGGGTTCTTCCCCTCTCCCCCTTAACTTTGTTGGGGCATTGCAAAATCAAGCTGAGCCACCTACAGCTTCTTTCCAGTGTTTACCTAAGCATGATCTGATCCAACCCCCAGTGGAAACTCCACTGCAAACAACCAAGCTCTGCTCGGGTTTCTGACACAAGAGCATGTGCTCTGCAATGCTGCTAAGTGTAGCCCTTGTTTCCAAGGAGTTCCAAGAGACAGGACAGTCAGCCTTAAAAACTTGAGGTGTGATCTTTGAGGAGACCCTGGCTCCCACTACACAGCATGTTCAAAATCTCCAAGGAAAAGGGGGCTGATTTGCTACTCTTCTCAATAATTCAGTTCAACCAGAAGGCTAGCCTGTGCCAGCCAAGAGATGATACCCATCTCATGGTACTTTCGGCAACCCTTCTCTCTGACAATCTCTACTTTAAAAAAATTCCGTGAACATGGCTGGTTTTAGCAAACCTCCCACCAAGTCCCCCTGAGCCCCCTCCTCAGTCCTCCCTGGCTCCTCTAATAACACTGACGTCTGACTTTGAAATGGGGGAAACTGCAGCCTTAAAAGCTGGTCTTGGCCGAGCTGCCTGTGACCTGAATCTGTTATTTATAAGTCAAAGAGCTGGCTCCGTGAAACGGACCAGAAATATAACAGCCCCCGCTGTCATTTTGTGCCACGGGGACCAAAAGGCCTCCTCGACCTTCCCCGAATCACATTTCTACCCTGGGCCCCAAAGCACCTTTTAATCCAAGCCCTCTAATTGCATGTCGAGCTTTCCCTGACTCTGGCGGACAGCTAAAACGGCAATGTATTTCTTTCTAAGCACAAACCACAGCCTTGATTGTCTCTGCCTTTCTCCACACCCGGCCATGCAAAACTTTTCATCCCTTTTTATCCCAGGCGGTGGCACAGGCACAGTCTGCCTGCTGCCTGGGGGAGTGTAGGGGGGCATTTGCAGCCAGGGGCATAGCCGATCCCCTCATCTTCCTCCCAGGCTCCCTGCTTGCCCCCCCAATTGCATCGGGCTTCTCCCTCCAAGACCTTCTCTGCAGTCCCCTCTGAACAAATGGGGCTGGGCTCCAGGCACAAAGGCCAGCCTGGCTCATTCAAGTCCTGAAAAGGACAGCAGAGCCTAAAGCACTTAGAGCGTTTCAGCTCCGGCAAATTTTCCTTCTTCTTTTAAAGTTCCTAAAAATTTTTTTTCTCTCTCTCTCACTCTCTCTGATTTTTATATTTAGATAGTGAAAGAGATTTGCAATTTGTGGAGCCAGGCGGAAAACTGCAGAAAGGAATCTCACTCTTTGTTAACTACAAACTGTGCGGCTCACTCTCTCGGACTAGAGAGCTAGAGAGTGGCTGTCGCCTGGCAAGCCCAAAGGCACAGGGTTGACCTGAGCCGCGTCTTTGCGTAAATGATGGACCTGTTGAGATGCTGCCTTCTGGTGCCCACACAATCGGAAGAGAGGTTGCCTAGCTCTCCCCAGCGATGTTTCAGCAATCCTGGCAAGCCCACGCCGACCAGCGATGGAAGCGGCCCCGGGGGCCTCTCACGAAGGCTTTCTCTCTCTCTCTCTCTCTCTCTCTCTCTCTC